AAAAAAAAAAAAAAAAAAAAAAAAAAAAAAAAAAAAAAAAAAAAAAAAAAAAAAATTATCCCTATCTGTATGCTATTTTACCCATATCTATCCTGATTTTATATCGAACGATAAATCGAAGATCGATATACAAAACAATATTTTATCCCTATGAATGAAACCCAGAGAAAATGGTGGTAGGGGAGCAAGGCATGTCATAAGAACAAAAAATATAAGAAAAATGAGCTGGGAGGGGGGGAGGTAGAATAAATGCTGGCAAAAAATTAGAACTAACCTAGCAATGATTTATTGAAAAAAAGAAGGAAAAAAAAATGAAAAAAAGAAATGGAAATAAAACATCAGCTAATAGCAAACAAAGGTTACCAAGGAAACCAAGAAATGGAACTTTCATGAAAACAGTTTAGTGGAAAACAGCGTAAGTAGGGTACTTGCGTTAATTACCGTCTGTAAGTAAACGGTTAATTCGATTTAACCGAAAATATACTCAGTTCTTCATAAGACTAAAATGGACGAAATTACAAAATTTGAATCAGCTCACGTAATTCTAACGATAGTTTTTATCGCGAACGAAAGACTTGACGACACAGGTCGGGTAACTATTATAGGTGGGATGGGATGGGATTCTTTATAAGGCCAAAATGGACAAAATTACAAAGAATCAGCTAACGTAAATCGAACGATAGTTATCGTGAACGAAAGAATTGAGGACATAGATTGGGTAACTATTATAGGTGGGATAATCAAATTGCGATTCTGTTGGGCGAAAATTTTGTCCGTTTGGCCGTATCTATAGTTGGAAAGCCGCAACCGGCCAATTCAGGCGAGGAAACCACCCTCCGGCGCGCCCCTGCAGCGGCATAGAGAACTTGAACTTTAAGGGTTGAAATAAAAATAGGAAAATAAATGAAATTAGATTTAATGATTTGAGTAAATAAAATAACCAAACCTAAAATTCAGATAAGTCTTATATAAAATTTATAAATTCTAGAAACCTTTTGGACAATAAACCTTCTTTCCTTTTCCGTCCGCACTGCCGTGCAAAGGAAAAACGCCGTATGAACCATCAGGCGTTGCCAAATCTCCTCCAATAGAATACAAAATTTCAAAAAAACTGTTGGATATTTTTCTTCCAATTTTATGGACAATTTTTTACACAATTTAATCTAAAATATCCGAAAATTTCAAGGAAACATATGCAAGAATCACCTCAAAAATACATGTTTTATCTGGGGAAATTTGGCAACTCTCGAATGTTCATACGGCATTCTTCCTTGGCACAGCAGCGCTCCTCTGAGAGCCGACATGTGACCCGTGTGCTCCCATGAGAGTGTATAAGTGACCCGGATGTGCTCTCGTGGGACCTCTCACGGTGTCTCGTGGAGCATCATAGAACTTTAGGGAAAATGTCACGGGCCCATATGTGACTACAGTCCACCACGTGGAGAATCACAGAACTATATTCATGGGAAATGCATACAGGACCTTACAGTGTCCTACACAGACGTCACCGAACTTGGGAGCGGAT